GCGGAAGCCAGACAATAGGAGGGTGAGGTCAGCATAATGTAGTGTTTCAGTGAGGGCAGGAGGACCACTGAGATGTTGTTGGTTGCCCTTGAGTCGCCTTTGACTCATGGTGACCTTATGTACAATAGAACGAAACGTTGCTGGGTCCTGTACCATCTTCAAAATTGTTGATATGTTTGAGTCCATTGTTGTAGCTACTTTGTCAATCCATTTCATTGAGAGTTGCCCTCATCTTCATTGGTCCTCTACTTTACCAAACACAATGTCCTTTACTAGCGATCGGTCTTTCCTGATGTCGTGTCCAAAGTAAGAGAGTTGAAGTCTTGGCCATCCTCGTTTCTAAGGAGCATTCTGGTTGTATTTCTCCAAAGATTGATTTGTTCATTCTTCTGGTAGTCCAAGATGTATTCAATATTCTTCACCAGCACCACAGTTTGAATGCATCAATTCTTTTTCATTATCCAACTTTTGCATGCAGCTGAGGCAATGGAAAAGACCATGGCTTGGGTCAGATGCCTCTTAATCATCAGAGTGACATCTAAGTTTTTTAACACTTTGGGAAACCACAGGACAGTGGTCAGGGGAATGGAGGAGGGGAGAGGAGAAAGCCAATCAGGATACAGTGGAGATGGAGTGAAAAGACTGTACTCAGAAACCAGGTGAGAGCCCGACTTTAAAGGAAGGCAACTCCTGAAGAAGGGATTATCCGTCTGCGATGGTTGATGTTATGTGTCAGCTCAGCAAGTCTATGATTCTCAGTCATTTGGCAGATACTGGACTGGTTGCTGTTCCATAATGTAATGTCATGCAATCGCTTTCTATGATGTAATCTAATGTGATCAGCCAATCAGTCAAAAGGAGAGTTTCCTTGGGAGTATGGCCTGCCTCCAATATATAAGTGGATATCCTGGCAAAGCTTGCTCTCTTAACCCTGCAATATTCTCATTGCCTGACCTCCAGTTCCTGGGAGGTAAGCCTGCAGAAATCTCTGGCCTGCCACCTGACTTGCAGATTTTGGATTCATCAGCCCCTACAATTCTGTGAGCCAGCAGGGGTCTCCAGCCTGCTGCCCAACCTATGGATTTGGGACTTGCCAGCCCTACAATTGCATGAGCCATTTCCTTGAAGTAAATCTCTCTCTCTCTCTCTCTCTGTATATATATATATATATACACACACACATACACACACACACATACATACCCACACACACACCCCTTCTCACTGATTTTGCTCTTCTAGAGAACCCAGACTAACATACCGTCCCATTTCAAGGATGAGGAAACCAAGGTTCATGGAGCCCAGTTCAGAGCCAGGAAGTGGCAGGTAGAGTCAGGCTGGAACTGGAAGTGGTCTGAGTGTGGGTAAAAAGCATGGACTCCACAATGAGAAACCACTGCACACCCACTAGGACAGCTGTAATGAAAAAGATAATAACAAGTATTGGTAAAGATGTGGAGACGTTGGAACCCTCATACATTGCTGGTGGGAATGTAAAATGGTACAGCTGCTTTGGAAAACAGTCTGGCAATTCCTCAAATGGTTAAATATGGAGTTACCTATGACCCAGTAATTCCACTTCTGCATATATATCCAAAAGAAAGGAAAGCATATGTTTGCACAAACGCACGCGAATATTCATAACAGCATTATTCACAATAGCCAAAAGTAGAAACAACTCAAGTGTCCATCAACAGATGAATGGATCAACAAAATATGGTATAATCAGACAATGGAATATTATTTGGCAATAAAAAAGAATGAAGTTCTGATACCTGCTACAGTGTGGATGAATGTTGAACCCATGATGCTAAGGGAAAGAAGCCAGACACAAAAACCAGATACGAAAAGTCCAGAATAGAGAAATCTGTACAGTAAGAAAACAGATTAGTGGTTGCCAGGGGCTGGGGGGAGGGAAGAATGGGTGGTATGGAATTTCCTTTTGAGATGATGGAAATGTTCTAAAATTGATTGTGGTGATGATTGCACAACTCTGTGAAATACTAAAAGCCATTGAATTGTATACTTTAAATGGGTGAATTGTATGGTTTGTGAATTATATCTCAGTAAAGTGGCTCAAAAAAAAAAAAAAAAAAAAAGGAGGGGGAGGGTTTTCATCACAGACCTAAACAGAAAAACTAAAACTTTACAGTTTGACATGTCATCACAGAAAGGATGTTCTCAGAGAGCGGTGTGATGGATCGCTTTTATATGGCCTTTCTTGCCATGGTCTTGTAACCCCCACCAAATCATTGGGTGGAATTATGAAAACAATGTGCTTATGGCCCACCAAGGAGATTGGCCCTCTTGCTAATAATGCAAATAAGGTACATGGCACCCTTGTGGGGGTGGGACCATGCAAATAAGGTATATGGAATCCTAATGAGGGGATTGGTCAGTTTTGCTATCCCGCTAGGCTTAAAATGAGCCATCCCAGAGGTGGAAAGGGGCAACCTCACTACCACCAAGAAAGAAGAGCTAAGAGTAGAGTGCATCCTTTGCACCCAGGGTCCCTGTGCTGAAAACCTCCTAGAGAGAGAAAGCTGTAACACCGGAGACAGCAAGAGACGGCGAGAAGCAGTGGCAGAGAAACAGCAGCAGCAGAGGCAGCAGAGCCAGGAGACCGGTATGAAAAGGCATAGTGGGCTTCCTGGCCCATGGAGCAAGGCAGCTACAGTGGGCATGCTGACCTATGGAGTAAGACAGCTGAACGCCTTCAGGCCAGGGCTTACTCGTGGAGCCAGGTGCCTCAGAGCACTTATTGACGAAGATAAACAGCTTTGTAACACTTGCTGGAGCAGGGCAGAGGCCGGGCACAGGGGCTGAGAGAGAGAGGCCTGCCTGCGGGCACTGGTGAGAAGCTGTCCTGACCGGAGAACTGTATCCTGAGTCTTTCCTCATCCTGAATTATAACCTGTTACTTCCCTAAATAAACCCCGTAACTGTGAGTATGGTCTGTGAGTTCTGTGTGGCCATTGCAGTGAATTATTGAACCCAGAAGAGAAGTAGAGAGTGCCGTGAGAGGAACGGCTGGTGTCAGAATTGGTAAAAAGGTTGGAGGATGGAGGTATGTGTGACCTCCACCTCATAGCAATCAGCCTTGGTCTGTTGATGCTGATAATGATTCTTCTCCCCTCTTGTGAAGTTAGAAGAGGAGGTCGGATGCCCTGATACCATTTTTTACACAGAGGAAGGAGGTAGAAGCGGCCAGGCCCTTAAGGACTGAGCCTGAAACTGGCATAGCATCACTTCCACAATGTTTTATTGGTCAAGGCAGTCAAGGCCAGCCTAGGTTCAAGTGTAGGGGTGCCGGAGAATCTGTAGCCGGCTTGAGTGTGACCCACCCACTCATGGTAACAGGAAACAACTGGATAGCACTGTTCAAAGAGCGTTCCAGGCAGGTGCTATGGTTAGCCCCATTTTACCAGGGGAGAGACTGTGACACAGGGAGTTAAATTACATGCTTTAGGTTTCCCAGCTCAGAGGAGATGAGGCCTCCACATGAGTCTGGCCTCAGAGTTTGCACTCGTAACCTCTGAACTGCACCACCTGAACAGACTGAGCTCCGCAAGGCAAGGACTCTTGTGTCATTTGTTCTCCACTCATTTCTCTGCCCTAGGACAGTGCCTAGCATGTAGTACATGCTGTTGTTAGGTGCCTTCGGGTCGGTTCTGACTCATAGTAACCCCGTGTACAACAGAAGGAAACACTGCCCCGTCCCGCACCATCCTCACAATCGTTGCTATGTTTGAGCCCATTGTTGCAGCCACTGTGTCAGTCCATCTTGTTGAGGGTCTTCCTCTTTTCCGCTGACCCTCTACCTTATCAAGCATGATGTCCTTCTCCAGGGACTGGTCCCTCCTGATAACACGTCCAAAGTACGTGAGATGAAGTCTCGCCATCCTTGCTTCTAAGGAGCATTCTGGCTGCACTTCTTCCAAGACAGATTTGTTCATTCTTGAATATTTTTCACCAACACCATAATTTAAATGCATTAATTCTTCTTCAGTCTTCCTTATTCACTGTCCAGGTTTCACATGCATATGAGGCAACTGAAAAGGCCATGGCTTGGATCAGGGGCACCTTAGTCCTCAAAGTGACATCTTTGCTTTTTAACCCTGTAAAGAGGTCTCTTGCAGCAGATTTGCCCACTGTGACATGTACATACTCAGGATGTATTTATCTTACAACACTTTCAGAGCACTTCCTGTTTGCTCAGCACTGTTTTCAGAATGTTGCAAATATATTTTTTTCTTTTAAAATTTATTCCAAATGCCATGAATTTTTTTTAAATATTTTATTTTATTTGTTGTTGTTGAGAATATACACAGAGTAACATACACCAATTCAACAGTTTCTACACATACAGTTAAGTGACATTGATTCCATTCTTTGAGTTGTGCAACCATTCTCACCCTCCTTTTCTGAGTTGTTCCTCCCGCATTGACATAAACTCACTGCCCCCTAAGGTTCCTATCTAACCTTTCGAGTTGCTGCTGTCAATTTGATACCATATAGATAGATCTTAAAAAAGCACAGTGCTCAAGGCAGACATTCTTTACTAGTTAAGCTGAACTGTTTTTTGGTTTTAAGAAGACTTCAGGGGATATTTTTGGTTTTTACAAATATCATCTTATTTAATCTTCATGCAGCCATATGAGATAGTTCTGTTAGGTTGAACCATATGAAATGGCTGTTGGCATAGGTAAAATATGGTCAGATATTGGCAATTTCAAATGGTTCAAGCTCATAACCCCTGTTCAACAGATGTGAACACTGAGATTCAGAGAAGTTAAGTAACTTGACTGAAGCCAAACAGCACTAGAAAGGGTGAGCTGGGATTCACACCCAGGCAGAAGGGCTCCAACATCTGTGCTCTTAAAACCTACACGGTGGATCTCACTAGACATGTTTAGATGGATTGAATGAATGAATGAATGATTGATTGGGGCAAGTGAATGAATGAGACTTCCATCGCCCCCAGCCATCCCTCCTGGCTTATGACCTTTCTCCTCCCTACAGCCATCATGAGATTCTGGACCGCTTGCCCTGCCTTCTCCACCATCTACTTCCTCTTGATCATCTTTGTGATATCCACCATTTTCCACTGCCACCAGCGCCTGGCCCTGGTGCCTGCACCCTGGGCACACCCAGCCCATGTGGTCCTGGCCCCCAAACACCTCCCCCGAGAGGGTGTGTGGACCATCAACTCCAAAGGCCGCCTGGGGAACCAGATGGGCCAGTATGCCACCCTGTACGCCCTGGCCAAGATGAATGGAAGGTCCGCCTTCATCCCGGCCCAGATGCACAGCATGCTGGCCCCCATCTTCAAGATCACCCTCCCCGTCCTGCACAGCACCATGGCCAGCAGGATCCAGTGGCAGGACTACTATCTGCTTGATTGGATGGAGGAGCAGTACCGCCACATCCCAGGGGAGTACGTGCGTCTGATGGGCTACCCATGCTCCTGGACCTTCTACCACCACCTCCGTGACGAGATCCTCCAGGAGTTCACATTGCACGACCATGTGCGCCGGGAGGCCCAGTGGTTCCTCCAGCAGCTGCAGGCCAGGCGGACGCGGCGGGCGACCTTCGTGGGGGTCCACGTCCGCCGGGGCGACTACGTGCGCGTCATGCCGCGGGTGTGGAAGGGTGTGCTGGCAGACCGCAGCTACCTGCAGCGGGCCCTGGACTGGTTCCGGGCCCGCTACCACACCACCATCTTCGTGGTCACCAGCGACGACATGGCCTGGTGTCGGCAGAACATCAACAGCTCTCTCGGGGATGTAGTGTTCGCTGGCAACGGCCTTCAAGGCTCACCCGCCAAGGACTTTGCGCTGCTCACGCAGTGTAACCACACCATCATCACCATCGGTACATTTGGGATCTGGGCAGCCTACCTCACGGGAGGGAACACCATCTACCTGGCCAACTTTACCCTGCCCAACTCCCCCTTCCACGCAGTCTTTAAGCCAAAAGCGGCCTTCCTGCCAGAGTGGGTGGGGATTGCTGCGGACCTTGGGTAGGCCTGGGAGAACGGCCTCTAGTCCTGCTAATGTCACCCCCTTGCCCTTGGACTGTGAGAGGCAGTGTGTGGGATAGCCAGCAGGGCCTCAATCCAGTTTGAATCTAGGCTTTGCTGTTCCCTAGCTGGGTGACTTTGGACAAGTGGCTTAACCTTTCTGTGCCTCAGTGTGCCACCTGAAAATGAACATAGTACAGAGCTGACCTCAGCAACTCTTTGTGAGGACTCAGTAAGTTCATTTAGAGCCAATGCCTTGTAAACACAAGATCGGTGCTGCACACTAACATATGCAGTTGATATGCAACGAACGTCACCAACGTGCCTGTGGTGTGCAACAAACATTTGAGTTGCTTTAAAATTTGAATTGCTTTAACATTTGTATTGCATGGTTTTCCTCTTTTCTTCTTCACAGCACCACTAGGATAAAATACAAATATTTTCCACTTGCCTCCTGGAAGTGGAGCAATGAAGCGATGAAGCCGCTCCTGCCCTCAAGTGAAAGGGAACTAGGTTTTGTTTTTGTTTTTTTTTTTTGCATCTAAGAATTTGGGCTTTAGGTTTAATGGGCCTTATCAAAAAAATGTGGGGGAGAACAGAATTTGGGAGAAAGAGGATGAATCTCAGGGAGATACCATTGGCATCAGGAAGGTCTTGGGTCCAGGGTAGCACTCTGGGGGGTGGGAAGGCCTGGACCCCAGCCATCTCAGCAGTGACCTGTGTAGACTGACAGCTGACAAGAGACTTCTCACACCTTGGCGTTGTCTATGCTCCCAGCACTTAGTGCCCCTCTGAGAAACCCCAGTATGAACAAAAGTTGCATTAAGCTGTTGCAGTACTGGTTTTCCTGTGCTCAGTGTATTTTAAAGTATGGAAATACCTGTATGTGTCTTGGTGTAATACCCCTTTTTGGATATTAAAAAAAAAAAATCTTAACATGGAATCATTTACAATCATTTAAAATTTTCACTGAACACAGGTGCACTCATTTGGAAAATATTTTTACCACAGCATCTTCCTGTTTTATACCCTTCCCAAGTATCTTATTTACCTTAATCCCCATTTCTTGGCTTACTTCTGAGGTTGAGCATCTTTTCTTTCATATATTAATAATATTGTTTCTTCCCTGAGCCATTTTGGACTCCAGTCTACTTCCATAAGTCCTTGATGGAGTGAGCATTGGGTCGAGAGTCAGGGAAGCAACAAGGGGAGCAAAAGGGGAGTTGGAGAGACTCCATATTAGCTATCTGTTGCTGCATGACAAATTACTGCAAAACTTAATAGCTTAAAGCAACAATTATTTAATATCTCCCACAGTTTCTGAGCTTCAGGAGTTCAGGGGTGGCTTAACTGAGTGATTCTGGCTTGGGGTCTCCAGTGGGGTTGCTGTCAGGTGTCAGCCAGGACTACAGTCATCTGAAGGTTTGACTGGGGTGGGGGAATCCATTACCAGGGCTGCCCATTGTTGACAACAGTCTTTGCAGATGTAATCAAGTGAAGATGAGGTCATTAGGGTGGGCCCCAATCTAGTATGACTGATGGGTGTCCTTCCAAGAAGAGAAGAGAAACAAGGCACACAGGAAGACGGGCATGTGACAGTGGACGCAGAGAACACCAAGGATTGCTGACTGTCACCAGAAGCAGAAGAGGCCAGGAAGGATCTGCTCCTAGAGCCTTCAGAGGGAGCATGGCCCTGCCAACACCTTGATTTTGTGCCTCCAGCCTCTAGAACTGTAAGAGAATAAATTTCTGTTGTTTCAGCCACCTGTACTTTGTTACGGCCAGCAGCCCTAGGAGACTAATACATTTTACTCTGAAATTGAAATCACTTGCTGAATTTCCTGTCCGCCTAGTGGGAAGAGGACTTTTTCTCCATTAAAATCAAGTTGATTAATGGAAAACAAAAAGATGTGTTATTTATTGCAGACTTGACTTAGGCGACTAGGACAAAACCTGCTGAAAACAGTACCAATTCCCAGGGGTGGGGAGCTGAGTGTGACTTTTCTGCCCTTGTCTTTCCTCCCACATCTTTGTGGACGATATGGGTGCTAAAGGAAGATTCAGAAGACCTATCTGTTATGAATTAAATTGGGTACCCCAAAAAGACACACTGAAGTCTAATCCCTGGACCTGTGAAGTGAACTTGTTTGGAAATAGATCTTTCTTTGAAGATGTTATTAGTTAACAAGGTCACACTGGAGTACCGGTACCAGTTGCCATCGAGTCAGTTCTAACTCATGGTGACCACACGTGTGTCAGAGTAGAACTGTGTCCCATAGGGTTTTCATGGCTGATTTCTGAAGTAGGTCACCAGGCCTTCTGAGGCACTTCAAGGTGGACTAGAACCTCCAACCTTTTGGTTAGCAGCTGTCTTAGTCATCTAGTGCTGCTGTAACAGAAGTACCACAAGTGGATGGTTTTAACAAAGAGAAGTTTATTCTCTCACAGTCCAGTAGGCTACAAGTTCAAATTCAGGGCATCAGCTCCAGGAGAAGGCTTTCTCTCTCTGTCGGCTTTGGAGGACGGTCCTTGTGATGCATCAGTCTTCCCTTGGTCTGGGGGCATCTCAGCGCAGGAACCTCAGGTCCAAAGGATGCACTCTGCTCCCAGCACTGCTTTCTTGTGTGAGGTTCGCTTATGTCTCTGCTTGCTTCTCTCTTTTATATCTCAGAAGAGATTGGCTTAAGACACTATCTAACCTTGTAGACCTCATCAGTATAACCGCCGCTAATCCATCTTATTACATCATAATGACAGAGTTTACAACACGTAAGGAAATCACATCAGATTACAAAATGGTACACAATCATACAGTACTGGGAATCGTGACCCAGCCAAGTTGACAGATATTTTTTGGGGACACAATTCAGTCCATGACAGCATTAACTGTTTATACTACCCAGGGTGGGTCCTCATTCCTTCTCAGTGGTGTTTTGTAAACAGAGACAGAATCACATACGGAGGTGGGTGGTGGGTGGGAGAGGGGAAGGCACTGTGTGAAGATGCATCTGCAAGCCAAGGAACGCCAATAGACGCCTGGGGCTACCAGAAGCTGGAGGAGACAAGAAAGGATCCGCCCCTAGAGTGGATAGAGAGAGCGCGGTCCTGGCGACGCCCTGAACTCAGACTCCCTGCCTCCAGAACTGTTAAGACAACAAATTTCTGTTCTTTAAACCACCTACCTAGTGGTATTTTTGTTACTGCAGCCCAGACCATCCTTACAGCCACCATCCCACAAGTTATCCATGAAGGTCTCCACCCAAAAGGGACCTGGACGGTGGACAGAACAGACACTGAACTGGCTGCTGGGGGGCTGGGTGAGGCAGTGTAATCTATTGTATTTAGTGCTGTTTAAAAGCTAAGGGGATCCAGCCCTGCATTTGAACTGCTTTGGCTTAAAGAGGACTTCGTGTTGTTGTTGGGTGCCATCGAGTTGATTCTGACTCATGGCGACCCCATTTTGTGCAGAGTAGAACTGCCCCGTAGAGTTTTCTTGGCTGTAATCTCCACAGAAACAGATTGCCAGGTCCTTCTCTTGAAGAGTCAATGGGTAGGTTCAAACTGCCAACCTTTTGGTTAACAACCAAGCGCTTAACCTCTGTTCCACCAGTACTCCTGAAGAGGCCTTTTACAAGATGCAAAGCAGAAGTTGGCAGGTCCCCAGCAATTAACTGCACCGATTCATTCAAAGAATATTTATTGAACTCCTACTGTGTTGGAGTTGGGAAGGCTCTCAAAGACCTTCCCCCTGCCCCTCACCAGAGTGAACACAAGGAAGTCAAGCAGGACGGAAACCATAAGTTCTGGAAGACAGAGATCTCGTACCCCGGCCCTTCGGACAGTATGAAGCACATGTTGTTGTTAGTTGCTGTGAAGTCAACTTCCGACTCATAACAACCCCATATGTTACAGAGCAGAACTGCCCCACAGGGTTTTCTTGCCTGGAATCCTTATGGAAGCAGTCTGCCAGGCCTTTTCTTCTGCAGAGCTGCTGAGTGGGTTCAAACTGCCAGCCTTTGGGTTAGCAACGATCACAAACTGCTTGCGCCACCCAGACTCCTAGATCGAGCACATAAAAAACCCCTTGCCTTCGAGCTGATTCTGACTCATAGTGACCCTATAGGACAGAGTAGAACTGCCCCATTGAGTTTCCGCAGGGCTGTAATCTTTACAGAAGCAGACTATCGCATCTTTCTCCCACGGAGTGGCTGGTGGGTTCAAACCGCTAACCTTTCAGTTAGCAGCTGAGCGCTTAACTACTGCACCACCAGCACATCCAAAAAAAACTTGTTGCTGTTGAGTGGATTCTGACTCATAGCGACCCCATAGGACAGCGTAGAAGTGCCCCATAGGGTTTCCAAAGAGCACCTGGTGGATTCAAACTGCCGACCTTTTGGTTAGCTGCCGTAGCACTTAACCACTGCGCCACCAGGGTTTTCCACCAGCACATAGTAGGTGTTTAATACGTATTTAGCAAATGGGTTGAACAACCACCAAGCAAAACGAGAGCTTCAGGGCTTATCACACAAGCAGATTAGAGACAAACAGTTTCTGGTTGCGCCTTGGCTCAGAGCCTGCGTCCTGCTCAGAGTGTTGAACCAAGAGGCCATTAAGAGGAGAACACTGGGGCTGAGTCAAGCAGGGTGTGATCTGGTTGAGCCTGGAAGGTAGTGGAAGCTTTCCAGGTGCAGTCCTTGGAGCTTAATTATGGCTGTTAAAAGTTGGCACAGCGCTTTGCCACTTCTGCTGTGAGAATGAAGACGATTCTCAGCAACCAGACTGTCCACATTCCAGAAAGTGTGAATGTCACACTTATTGTAAAGGGCCCCAGAGGGACCCTCTGGAGGGACTTCAGTCACATCCATGTAGAGCTCAGTCTCCTTGGAAAGAAAAAGAGGTGGCTTAGCGCTGACAGATGGTAGGGAGATCGAAAGGCACTGCTTACAGTTTGCACTGTCTGTAGTCACGTGCAGAACAGGATCACGGGCGTTTCATTGGGCTCTT